AGTTAGGAGAAAATTTGTAACATTTTTGATTACACGTGATATCTTACCTCCCCCACGTGATATTTCTTGATTTTTTGTCAATCCCCGCCTCACTCTAAAATTGATTAAAATTTAATTCTCGAGGTTTAAAGTACAATATTTAAAAAAATGACCTATTATGCAATTGTTTAAATAATGTGCCATGACTAAATAATGGCCAAAAAGTTAACATTTCATGTTATCTACTCTAATGGTTCCTTAAATGATACTTAGATGACCGCTGATGGATTTTAAATGAGCAGAAATGTAAATGGCAACACATTAATATTGGAAATATTATTTTTACTGTTATGTACATAATTCAGGACACGTGTTCATCATTACTTATAATTTCTTGACACTAGCAATAATTAGATATTTGAGAAAATGCTAAAATAATTTGGTTCTTTAAAGATTTTCCTCGAAGCCTTGTTTGGAATAAAATAATACATCTCACCTTGTTTAATAGAAACAAAACATATAATTTTAAATATATATATATACAAGTTCAGAAGAAATGTGAGTACTTCGAAAAGTTAGTTTGACCTTTTCAATACGTTCAGACAAAAAAAAGTGATATTTGTTTTTATCGAGCGTTTTCAGAATTTCATTTGAATAATTTTAAATAAATTTATCCCAGTTTTGCAAATATAAATGGCAGGACTAGATCACAAAACCCAGAGTAAAATATTAATATAAACGTTTGTACTGTAAAAATCTAATGTTATATTATACATAGATTAATTTAATGATAAATAAGTTTCGAAACTAAATTTTACAAACATCATTGACATCAAAAACGCAAATCACACGCTATTTAGTCACAAAACACCATTTACTGGAAAACACATTTCTCACGTTTTCTATTTTGTGATAACAATACTTTATAAATAAATATTTTATGGAAATTGTACATGCATGCACGCATCATTTTAATAAGAAAGATCTTGACCGAAATAAACAAGAAAAAATAAAAGACAGAAAATAGATAAAAATACTTGAAAAGCAATTAATCGAATTGAATACCCGATTTTTACTATAAGAGTAAAATTCACATTTTTAATATTTTCATCATACTAAATGCTTTAATCTTTGTTCCAATTCAGTGTAATATAAGCAAGCAAGGGTCAATTAAGTAATTGATAATTGTACTATAATTAATATGATCTATTAAACTTTAGGTCAAATATCCTTAACTATGATGATCTTTAATTAAAATAATTTATATGCACCAGATTTTAATTATGTATGAAATTAGATATAAAATTAGTTCTTTCTTGAATATGTCATCATCCGTAATAAACTTAATATTTTATAGAGATTCTTATATATTTTAATATCTATAGAGTTAGTAACTGCAGAATGGTATATAAAATTAATGTATTAGATTAAAACATAACTGTAACAGATTTTTTTACAATAAGCAGCATTTTCTGTTTCTAATAAGATATCAGTAATAATTACGACTGGCCTAGATAGAAGAAAAGCAATTGCAAGAGAATTACATAGCTTTATCAACCTATTTATATTTTCCACGTGGCTAATATAATTGCTTTAACGGGAAACCACAAGATTGAAATATTTATTATGAATAGAGAAATAATAGTCAAGATACAATTTTATTGAATTATTTATTTTCTGGGGAGGAAAAGACTGTATTTGAAGTTAGAAAGCTCCTGAAACGAATATTCTATTTATAAAAGAGACTTTTTTCTTACTCTTATGTAAGGAACTACTCATCGCTAAGGAATATATATAAGAAATAAGGAACTACTGATTGCTGAAAAAATCTGTACAGGTAATGTATAAAGGTAAAAAAATATGCAAAAATTAGCAAGCTTTCTGCTGTTCATTTTTATTGATTCTGAATTCTTAGTTCCCTATTATAATCATAAATTAATAATTAATCATGCTTCTATAACGAATTGATTATTAAAAAGCTCTCCTATTTTTCTCAGTACAAGTCACAAAATAATTACTGAACATTTCTGATATATGGAAACAGATTGTAATTCCCTCTAAGTAAACTTTTTTTTTGAACTTGTGATATTTGTCTCAAATAGATTTCTTGATTTTAGTCTAATTTAATATTATCCTTTACATCTGCGGTCGGCAAACTTTTTTAATCATTACCCCAAATTATGTTTGTCTAGGATCATATTATCCTCATGGTGAAATAAGATTACTCCCATACTACGTAGCAAATACAGTAAATATCAACTAAAAATACACACTTTTTACCCCAAAATTTCCATTTTTACCCTATTTGGGGTAATCCTCCGACCCCTGCTTGGTAAATCCTATCAATTTGTTAGTTCCTATCAATTTTGTAAGATCGCAATAATTTTTCCAAATAAAATATAAATTCTCAGTCAGTTGTTTTTATAGAATATTCATTCTCGTCTGTTTGAAATAAATTATACCTGTTATGTTAATTTGTTCTTTCTATACACGTACTTGACAGATTCTCAGTAGTGGTGATACATTCTCCTTGTTTGAATACTGACGTAGGTAATAAAAATTCTTGTCTTCAATGTTTAGAAGATTATTAACAGGTATTTAATTAAAGTAAACCTGTAAGGCAGAGCTTTGGAAATGGATGGATTACCAGAATTCGAAATACTTTAGGCTTTTGCAAAACTTAAGACGCTTATATAAATAACTAATATATTTGATGGGATATAATCTACAGTAAAGGTTCCTCAACTTTTTTGTGTCGTGAATTTCGTGGATCCCCCATTTACCCCGATTTTTTTTCGTGGATAATTGTGAAAATTATACTAAAGAAGCATATAAGGACAAAATTGGTCCTTTTGTTGGTTTTCAATCTGGTAGTGGTAAACAGAACCAATTTCACAAAGTGCTTTAGAAAAATCCAAAAGACTTCTTCAAGACAATGAAATTTCAGATAAAGAATATGAAACTTGTACTAAGGAAGTAGATGGAGCCAAAATTAATACCTTCATGGGTTTTCAATCTGGTAGTGGTAAACCGATTTCGATTTTACAAAGTGCTTTAAAAAAATCTAGAACTTTTTCAAGATGATGAATTTTCAGATAAAGGTAAAAGTTGTACTAAAGAAGTAGATAAGGACAAATTTAGTACTTTCCCATGAGTGTTGTCATGAACCCCTGGGGGTCCATGTAAACCCCTTTGGGGATCACTGATCTACAGTATAAAAATTCTTCCTTTATAAAAATCATTGAACTTTTCCTTACGAGGAATTTAATTTCAACTTCTCCCTTGCTTTCGCAATCACCGTTTCTCGATAACAAGAAACGTGGAATGCATAAACGCTTATGACAATAATAAGAACCGACTCGACGTTCCATTTAGGTTGTAGGCGTGTTCGTAAACCATCATCATCAAAATACACATGGACAATGGACATTTGCTCGGAACCATCCATTATGAATATCAAATTACATTATCCATACATCGACGTTTAACAAATTCCAATATCATGCGAGCTCATGCAAAACATCAATTTGTAATATCGCGAATAAGGGAATAAGGTGACAGAAATTTTTTATTCACTTTGTAATATAGGGTGAGGTTGCCACAGTCGCACCCCCTGAGGAAAAAATGCTATTAAATTTAGTGCAATTAAATTAAAAGAAAAACTTTGACGATTTTTGTATCTGTATTTAGTTGGCTCATGATTAAAAATTACTGTTTCTTTGTTTTTTTCAAGAAAAAAAAAAGGTATTTTTGCATTTTTCAAAAATGTGCTTTAGGTGCCTAGACGCCTAGACTTTAAATTCGTCTTAATTTTGTGTTTATTCATTATTTCCTCGTATTATTCAAAAAAGAATCTATTATATGATACTCTCTATTAAACCGGTACAAGTAAGGAATTTAGCACAGGTACGGATTAAGGTGCAAAATCTTGCAAGATTAAAATTAAAACCATTAACATAATCTGAACAAATACTAACATTTAGAATGATTATCAAATAAATAATGTAGTCCATGTAACGAGAAAATATCAGAATCATATTCTAGCCATAATAGACTTACAATGGAGTCAAAAATGTTAGTAGAAACTTTACAAAAACGTCCAACTGTTAAAGAAAATTCAATTTCTAAAAATTGCTTTATCTAACGGTACCAGATAATGTAATTGGTAATTGATTGATCGATATGTTTAATACTTTTCAGAAAAACGACTTAGACCAGGGCTTCTTAAACTTTTGTCATTCGTGACCCCATTTATGATTGCGAGTTTCTTTACGACCCCTTTTGTAATTTCGATTTTTTGACGAACCCAAACAAATATAAGAAGAAAAAATTAATATTTTTAGATTATTTATTTATTAGGATATTATTATACAAAAAGGATGTCATAAAATGATAAATGAAGGCATAATGTTATAAAATGATACAGATATATTTGGCATTGAAATCTCTAGCGAAACCAGAATTTTTCTACGCGACCCCATCTGCGACCCACAGTTTAAGAAGCCCTGATTTAGGCTAACGTGGTACTATATACTTTTCAGGATTAAGGCTTTAGTTTAATTTCAAATTTTAGTATTAAGAATGTGAATCAATAAATTTATATCAGAATAATAATTTCTGTCACCCCATTCGCAGAATAGAACGTAAAGTAATTTGTAAAAAGGACAAACTGATAAGAGATTTTATTTTAAATTACAAAAGCCAACTTTAAATTATAAAGTACGACTAGAATGTTTTTAATGTTTTAAATAATTGATCCGTCCCTTTTTCAATTTACTCTATTATCGTGCCCGTGTTTTTTAGCACATTAAGAAAGAAATATTTATATTTTTTATTCATTCGTAGGTCACATGCTCTTTGTTTGCAACGGAAGAATTTCAGTCTTCAGATGTTTTCCATTGTTTAAAAGGATTTACATGCTGATTATATGAGATATACAAAAACATCAATGGAAATCTACAGTTATAGATGACTTAAATAAATTCCGTCGGAACAAAATACCATATAATATGTAAATTCACCTTAAATATGCGCCATCGAATCTGATTACTTAAACAGCTGGATTATCCATCGTAAAAACAACTTTAACACTATTCGAAAAATTTACAAGATAGAAGTTATCACATCCTTCAAAGTAACCACACTGTCGTTTAACAAGAAATACGCATTCTGTCTATCCAATGCGACAAAAGATATCACTTATTTTTAGATACGTTGTAATTATTATTTGCACATACACAGTAGTATATTAACAACATTTATTATCAGTTAAAATATTTAATAATTCCTTTGTCTTGCACAGATTTCACATCGCTATTTGCATAAGACTTTAGTTGTCACATACAAACTAATTTGCAGATAGCCCCACTAGAAATATTCACACAAAAGCTTGATACTTCATATCAGGTTTTATAACCGATCCCGACTCAATTATGGCCTCCGGGGAATTAAAACGCGAACGTTAACGATTCAAAATTAAATATTCAAACAAATTAAATTTACTTACAATTTTAAATTAATTATTTTTAAATTTTAAAAATATTTTTTACCGATTTTTATTATGAACGCGGTTTTTGATCGTCCGATCGACGATTTGACAAGACGTACCCGGTGTGGTATCCAACTGTGGCTTGTTTTCTTGCGCACGCCGAATGCAGCGCACGTTGCAGAAGGAGAACAGAACTAAAAACAAAGGCGGAGAAGGGCGGAGAAGGGCGAAGAGGACGTCGGGTAGCTATGGCGACCGGCAGGCCAACGGTTACGAGGACGTTTTGAATTTTAACCGATGATTGTGAGACGGTGGTACTGCAGGATAATAGATTTATAAAATAATCATTAAAATTCAAATTGTTTTTTTTTTAATGAAAAAATCTCAGAAACTATATAAAGGGTTTTGTGTTATTTGATATATTTTATTTATTTTATTTATTAATTTTATTATTATTATTATTTGCTTTTATTTTATAATAAATCATCATGCTACGGATATCATTTTAATGAAAATACTATCCTTTATTTTGTACCCTATTTTTATTTAAATTTATGTTATTGATCATTATTGTTACTAGATGTTAAATTATTTAGCAGTTGTAAGAAATAATGAACAATAAAAGATATATTTTACAAAATTTAATTATAGAGAAGAAACAATTGTAAGTTAGTACCCTTTCTCTCCACTATTCTATAATATATTCAAAATCAATTGTATTATTTAGTGTTATATGAAAAATAAGAATTAATAAAGATTTAGTTGAACAAATAATATTTTAGTAATAATATAAAAAATAGAAGTAAAATTTATAAAATATTTCATATCACTTAATACATTTTTGCAAAATTTAATTGAAAACAAAGATCTATTCGCAGAAATAGTACTTTGGAAAAAACTGTATATGCAAGATTCATAAAATAAAATACTTCCTTTTACTTTATATTAAAATTAAATTGAAATTATATTAAAATGAAAATAAATATTTAGTAGTATTTGATTTATATTAAAAATATTTCATTTATATTTCTCCCAGAAACCGTACCAAAAACGCGTCTTTATACGCCAGAAAGCGTGTTATGCGGGATAGAAACATTATGTTTCAAAGTGCTGAAACTGGCGTATTATGCGGTCTTAATGAGGCTCTACTGCAGTTAAAATAAAATTTAGTTTGAGATAAAGATTTAGTCGCAGAAAAAATATTTCAGAAATTATATACAAATATTTCAGAAATTATACAAAATATAAAAGACGTTAATAATGTAATATATAAAATATTTCAAATTATTTACTTGATTATGTCTTATTAAATATAAATTGAGATTAAAATTTTAACAAAAATCACATTTTAGTAATTATATAAAAAAATTTGAAAAAAAAAATATATATTACATATTAATCCATATAATTTTTAAAAATAAAATATGTTTTAAAAAAAAAAACTATGTAAAATATATCACATTACTTGATATAGATATATTTTGAAAAAATTAGTTAATAAAATTTAGTCGCAGAAATAATATTTCAAAAACTATAAAAAAAATTGACAATAAAATTGACAAATATAATTGAAAATAAAGATATAGTCGCATTACTTTATATAATTTTTAAATAAAAAATATGTTTTTGAAAATAAACTATATAAAATATATCACATTGCTTGATATAAATATATTTTGAAAAATTTAGTTAATAAAATTTAGTCGCAGAAATAATATTTCAAAAACTATAAAAAAAAAGTTGACAAAAAGGATATTTCATCATATATGATATATTTTATAAAATTTAGTTGAAAATAAAGATTTAGTCGCAAGAATAATATTTTGTATTAATTAAATAAAAGATATTGAAAATATAGACATGCAAAATATTTCACATCCCTTTGACAATAGATGAACTGAGGATTATTTTATAATTTAACAATTTAAAATTGTTTTATTGTTTATACTATATTCTACCGATGCTCTTATTCCAATTTGTATTTAAGTTTCTACTATTTCTTTATTTAGACAAACATGTAAATTATTGAGTAAACGACTTCAAGACGAGAGCTTTCTAATGAATGAAAAAGTGTGGACTTACAAAAGAAACATTTCTCAATTCTCATATTCCTGAGTAATGAGAACATGAACACAATAAGCATTAAGTGCTTCCAGCTGTTCTCTACAACGACACAAAAACACGTTAATAATGATACAAAAATGTAGTTTTACAAATAAAATTGAAATAGTTACAATTTTATTATATTTTTATAAACAAATTGAGGAATCCTGGAAAAATTCTGACGCGGTTCGCTAAAGGTACCTGAGCGTTCGATTTGTATGTGTTTGTAAACCGGTTCTCCTGAAGAACGAGACAGGCCGATGTATTTATTATCGGGGTCCTATTATATCGCGTATTTGGCATGCCAGTCTTCAAATCCCGATTTGATTATTGCATCCCTTAGGAATTCGCTTATCATTAGGAATTATTCCTCAAATGTACCAATATTGCATTTGAGAACTTTACAACAACTTTAGCAAAGCAATTAGAGAAACGTTTGCAGATTACAAGACAATGGAATCATACAACCTCTGATGATGTCATTTCGTGTCTACCATCGACTTGCATTCGATCGTGGTAATATTATACGTCGATTGTTAAACTGGCATAAATTATAATGGAACAAAAGATTCATAATGTAAAGGATTATAAAGATTATGAAGAAGAAGGCGTACAGCTTGAGAAATTTAACTCCGCGATTATTTTTTTTTAATTCTTTAGCTGGTTTCAATTGTGTTAAAAATATGAAGAGAGTAATGTATTTGAAAAGGGCTTCGACTTAAATCAGCAAGCTCTGGTGAAAACTCGCAAGCGCTTAATTTCTTTTTCAAAACTTCAAAATTTACCTATAAAATATTCCCAGTACCAATTATAGGTCACATGAGTAATATCATGTGATTAATTCCGCATGCGAATCAAAAGCACACTGATAATTTATTAAATCCATATGTTGTTATGCAAACTAAAAAATTCAATCGTTCTGCGAAATGCATCCATCCATAATGTATATGTAATATTTTGCTATTCCATTCGCTCAGCAATATGATCGATCAGAATAAATAATGATGAAATGCGAAACTGCTAATAGCCTGCAAAATTATATCCATTTAACATGTCAGCATGGAACGTAATCCTAATTAGTGATTTGATATAAAGTGTTGATGTCATAGCTGTCAATACGGGTTGAGATAAATTTCTAATAGACGGAGAGCTTAGGAGAAGAAAGATAGAAAACACAATATTTATTTGAAAAAAAAACGTTTTGATATATTTTATATCTTTAAACACCAATCAGAACTTAATTTAATGAGCTGCAAATTTTCTCTTGAACAACGTTGGTGAATTATCTCCTGAACATTTTGGTAAACTTTCTCCTGCCGCTTCTTGAGAAGGCAACCCAATAGGCACCCAACAGAATCTATATTTGCTATAATTTTATGACTAAAATTTTTCTAATAGTTCAATACCGGAAAAAATATAGTATTAGATGTATATTTGCATAATAAAATATAATAAGTGGTTAAGGAAATCAGAAGTCCAGGTTCAATACCCGCACCTTGTTCAGTCTGATGCAAGTACTAGTACCATCGGTTTTTCTTGAAAATATAGATGGAAATATAGCCTTTCAGCGCATTTCTGCAATATCCTAACGTGGAGTTCCAATACAGCTAGTTGAACTTTCAAGTTCATTTTCGCCTTATAGAACTTTAACATGTTTCTGATTGCTGTAAAGTAATAAGCAAAGATTGATCTACATATTTGATACTTAATCTTATCCGACTTCATAATGACCTGAGCTTTTATAGATGGCAACCCAGCCAGTTATCTCATCTCAATATGATTATTACCCTGGACAGCTTGATGTGAAGCACTAGCGACATGGGTTTCTACTTGAAAATATAGATGGAAATAAATCCTTTCGGGGCATTTCTGCAATATCCTAACGTGGAGTTCCATTCTAACAGCATTCAGTAAAAAACAAGAACTATATCTCAGATAGTGAAGACAATCAATGAATTGCCATCTAATAGCAACGTGAAGTACGAGTATATATGTGAGCTTAGGAATTTTATCTAGATTTAAAATTTAAATCCTAACCATTTTCCATATTCAAAATAGATTATTTTTTAGAAATTTAAAAAAAGTTGTGAATTTAAAAAAAAATAATGCCTTCCTCAAAAATTAATCGTTTCTTCACATTGTTCAAACAAGCAAATTAATTTTTGAATCATTCAAATTGAAAGCTTTGTTCTCTCCAAATCTACTATTTTTTTAACATTTAGCTGCGTATCTCCGAAACGGCCGGACCTGTCTATGCCAAGAACGAATCACCACTTCTCCCTATCAATAGGAATCGATTGCTTTGTGAATCATTCAAATCGGTTGGTTCGTGCTTTCAAAAACGTGCACAAAATATTGTACATACAAACACACACGTTGCCATCTAATAGCAACAGCGTTCTTAGAAATAAGTAGTTCTTAATACAGCTAATTGAACTTTCAAGTTCAGTTGCGGCTTATAGAACTTTAACATGTTTCTTTTCTGTATGCTGTAAAGTAATAATAAAAGATTGATCTACATATTTGATACTTAATCTTATCTGATTTCTTTATGACCTGGGCTTTTCGTAGCAACCCAAACAGTAGACCTATCTCTATGTGATAAATATTTATTACAATTTCTGTAATACTAATGATTTTCACTTGTATTTCCAAATTAAAGCTGATGCCACTACTGCTTGACATCCGGATGTTTTAGGCGGTGTGAACCAAATCTAGAACCTCTTTCTAAAAATCTAGAAAGTTCTTAGCTCTAACCAATAACTCGCGCGGTAGATTCTATATATTTTGAGAGTGTGTTCTTGGAAATAAGAAGATTTCAATATAGCTTCTTGAACTTTAAATAGTTACTCATTAAAGAACTTTAACATGCTTATGATTGTTGTAAGATAAAAAGAAAATATTGATCTAACTTCTTAATGACCTAGGCTTTTATAGATGGCAACCCAAACAGTTGTCCCATCCCAATGTGATTATTATTACAACTTCTGTAATACTAATTGTTGTATCAATTTTTTATTGATGCAACAATGCTGGGCAAGAAACATTTTTACTTGGAAACAAATTGCATGTATATTCAAAGTAAAACCAAGTAAAAAATCACTACTGCTTGATCTGGCTGTTCAAGGCGGCGTGAACCAAATCTGGAACTTCTGATTGAGT